CAGGAGTAGTAATAGTAGTAGTAGTACTAGTAGTAGTAGTAGTAGTAGTAGCAGTAGTAGTAGTGGTGGTGGTGGTGGTGGTGGTGGTGGTGGTAGGAGTAGTAGAAGTAGTAGTAGTAGTAGTAGTCGTCGTAGTAGCAGCAGTAGCAGTAGCAGTAGCAGTAGCAGTAGCAGTAGCAGCAGTAGCAGTAGCAGTAGCAGCAGTAGCAGTAGCAGTAGTGTAAAAGTACTTGTACCAGTACTAGTACTAGTTCTAATAGTAGGAGCACAAGCAGGAGTAGGGGGAGAACAAGCAGAACTTCACTTGTAGTTGCAGTTGTAGCTGTAGCCGTAACCATAGCTGTAGTAGTTACTATAATTATAGCTGTAGTCGCAGCCGCTATAGTTGTAGTTACTGCTGCTGCTGCTGCTGCTCCTGCTGGTTGCGATGGTGGTGGTGGCCGCGGTGGTGGTGGTGGTGCTGGTGGTGCTGCCCTCGGTGTCGTTGTTGCTGCTGCACCAGTACCATTACCGCTGCTAGTATTCGTACTAGATAGGACTAGTAAGCATTCGCACTACTGCTGCTCCGAATCCTACTGCTATTGCTGCCCCTGAAACCTGTTGGCTCAGCTAGCTGAGCTTGGAACTCGGGTTTCGGAGCGACGTGGTCGTCACATTGGATGTCCACCTTGCAGTGTTTCTAGATTCTGGGGGTTTTCGGGTTTGGGGAAATAGGATGTTAATCTCCACTTTCCTTGGCTTCTCAGGGTTCAGGGTCTGCGAATTGGGGCTGAGGGTGCTGAGAGCCACCTTGCAGCGCAACGCCTCGAAACGTTTGACCCCCACCCCCACCCAGAGCATCGGCACTGCTACGTCGATTTGCTGCTTGGGGAGGTTACGTTCACAACGCTGAACCTAGGATCTGAAGTCCTCAAGAGCTAGCAGTAACGCACCTCCACCACCCAGGGAGACTTGCAGCAGCGGACAGTCAGCGATTCTTTGCACTGGCACCAGTCCCTGGATCACATTCTGGGAGAGCATTGTGGGCCTATGCCAAACCGAGCACCTCATGGGGGACTAGCGTGGCGAATCGCTCGAGGGGCAGGAAAGGATAAATCAAGGCCCTATTCTGGCTTGGCTTGGCTGTGTCCTTAGGTTGTTAAACGGGATCTCGATTAATGGAGTTGGCGAAACAGTGGTTCAGGCTTACAGTTTTCAGCTACGGGGCTGTAGAGGTTGGGCGTTAGGGCTTTAAAATGGGCTTACGGCACGCTTCATCTGGGAAGGAACACGAAGAGGATCCGTACACGTCCGTGGTAACCCTCAGGCAAGTAACTCCCGGATGGGTATCCTTTAAATTTAAAGTATCCTTGAAGTATCCCATCAACCCTTGTCTCCTTCATGGTGACCCGGATACGTCGGGACCTCTATACATTGATCCTGTCCTCCCGGCCTCCCACTGCAGTGAAGAACTGGCTTGGCGGATCGCCAACCCGGTTCAAAGGCATCTGCCAGCATGCAGAAGCCACGCCTGGTCACAGATTCTTACAAGAGTGCATGCTGTGTGTCGGAATTGCTTCGCTCTTTTGGAGCGTTGGTTGGGAAACCGGTGCTAAAGCGTCCCTAAACATAAAGCCTACAACTTAAATTTATAGCCTGCGAACCTAATCCTGAACACGGGGCCGTTGAACCCAGTCAACACCTCGAGAATGAGAATCTCTTCAATTGATTTCACCCGACTCCAGCCAGCACATGCCGAGGGTTTTGGGGTGTTGTTTCGGGGGGGTTATCTTGTAGTGGATTACGGTTTTAGTGACGTATACAATAGTATAACTGTAGTAAGGAGCCCGGCTCGGGATCGATATGTTTCAGGATACCGAGCCCCCCCTTTCCCAAAAAGGAAACGACTGCCACTGTACGGCTAAGGTGTCGGTTTTGGGGGAGGGTTTCGTGTTTCGTGTAGTTCTGGGGTTTCCGGTTTCGGGGATATTATGCGAAGCCCACAGGGACATGTAATGCGGATTCGCACAGAGGCCAAAATATCGCCGATACCGAACGTTTGAAAGTCCTTCCGTGATATAATGTATTGTGCCTTCGCTATAGCTCACATGAGCACGCCCTGGAAGCCCTGTTCCTTTTAGTAAGCTACTGCCAATAAACATACTGCAGTATGTCATTTCATGATTGCGGAAGAGCCTTAACCATGAACTTTGCTAAACACCAAATCCACCGCTTGGGAGATGATAGGTTGCAAGCGTCCCGAATGCTGGGGTCGTTCATCAAACTGGCTTCGGACTTTACCGATCTCATGACGGTTCGCCGTTTCAGCCCCGAAACCCTGAACTCCAAACTCCGAAACCGGACCCATAACCCCTAACCCTCACTCCCAACAGTGTACTTGTAGATGCAGGCATCTTTGTTCACCTCCGACTCCATGGAACATATTATGTTTCAATCACAATCCCCAACTTAACGCTGAGAATGCTTCCACTTTGGATAGGATCTCCATATCTGGAAGTATTCCAAGTGGCTATCCCCTTCCAAATTGAAATAACCTTTGGAACTCGCCCTGGAATCTTGCCTCAATCCTCAGGTAAAGGTTTGAATAAGTAGCATGATTAGCATGGCATCCCCATGTCCCCCCGATAAGGTTGAAATGCGATAGACGATACTTTTCTATCGGCCTGTCACCTCCGGTCGCGGCCCAAAGCCCCCAAAGACGTAGCCGGTCCGCCTGAGGAGTTGGGGGTTTCCTGGGCCCCAGGGGCCCGAGCCTGGCCAAGGACTGACTGGACCTTGACTTGGTGCTGGCATGCTTTTCGTTCTCCCCAGGCTATCACAACGCATCTCAGTCTCAAGCCTGCCATGGGGACCGTCCCATGTTCATTCACGGTCTATGGGTCACTCCGCTTCGTGCACATTATGACGGCCGGTGCTGTTGCCACCATCGTTTTGCTCACGTTGCTTGCTGCTACCTCCGCTTACCAAACACACACGGATGGTTGAAATTCAAGTGCTATCTCTGCAGGGTGTGTGCCGGTCTCAACACGATCGGGAACCTCAAACACCACTTGATTCAGAGGTGGGCAATGAGTACAGCAACCAAGTTTTCAGCAAATGGAAGGCAGTATCGAGATATTAGGACAAGAAATTTGTCGTGCGTTCTTGTCGTTTTGGAACTGATCGTATTTCTACTATTCGGGCCTGTTTCCGCTTGGAGCCACGGAGACTTACAGTACAGGCACAGCTCCCGATCGGCACGGTAACAGCCAGTCCAACTCAACACTGCTGAAGTACCCACGAATGTTATGCTCCGGTGCTTTCCTAGGCTTCCTTTTAACTATCTCTCCTGTTCGCCAGCAGTCGCAATTCTTATCGGTTCAGCTAAACCCTAAACCCTAAACCGTCCTTCGCATGGCTGGAACTGATTGGACTCATAGGGAGACCTGGAGTGCTCCAACGCCTGGACCCTAACAGCCTAACTTTTGAAGGACTTACACAAGACAATCGTAACGAGGAGCCCCAAGAAGGAGTAAGTTGATATCCCAGAGGGCCAGTGCCAGTGCGGTAACAAAAATGAAAAAGAAATGTCTTACAGCTGAAAGGTGGCTGCCAGTATGCTTTCAGGAGTATTTCTGAGAGCTTGAAGGATCCTTGATGCGACTCCTGAGGGTTTAGGGCTCCCAAACGGTGAGGGACTAAGATTGAATGGGTTGAAGATCTGGGTATGCTGACTTAGGCGACTTAGGCTTGCAATTCTGCGCATTACAGGGAGGTGCTAGGACGAAGTCTTCAGACCCACGGGTATTCCGCTGGTAGAACCAAGCCGTGGAACTTCTTGCGAAACCCTGTCTATATTTATATATATATACCCTGAACCCTAAGCCCTAAACCCTAAACCCTGAGCCCTATAAGTCCTAAAGAATAAAGCCTAAACCCTAAGCCCTAAAGCCTATAAGCCCTAAAGAATTATGCCTAAACCCTAAGCCCTAAAGCCCTAAAGCCGAAAGCCAGAACCTGGAAACCCGGGGCCCGAAGGACTCAAGCCCTTAGAATCTCGCGGAGACGGCGGTTTAGGGTTTAGGGGTTTAGGGTTTAAGGGTTTCGGGCTCAGCTTTCGCCAAACAAGAGCCTTAACTAGTACTACACTACTATTCCCGTATACAGTCCCTAAATAACTTATACTGCAACAAAACACCCAAAGACTGCTCCCTAAACCCTAAACCTTAAATCCCTAAGCCCTAAATCCCTGAACCCTAAGCTCTCTAAGGCCCCCTCATGGTTTAAGCTCTGGTGTGCTCATGTAGCCCTGCAACCGGGGAGGCTGACCATCCAATCCTACACCCTAACATGGGGGCTTAATACTTAGAATAGGGTTTTTTGGGGTTCCTTTTGAGGGCTCCTTAAATAGGTCGATAAGGACTACTATAAGGGCTCAGGGTTTGGGGGCCTTAATACTTAGAATCGGGTTTTGGGATACATTGAACTAGAATTACCGAATTATCAAGGCTCCTATATTGCACTGTCGGGCTTAGGGTTAGAATAGGGTTTAAGGTTTAGGGTCTAGAGGATATGGGGGCCTTAAGACTCATGCAGACTAGGATTTTGGGGTATGTTATATTGTACTCAATTTTGCGGGCTACAAGCCTACAAGGGGGTACTAGTACTAATTGTTCAGGCTGGAGTACAAGCTTCGAAGCAAAGCCCAGACCCCAAATCGCGCACCCCAAACCCTCCTCCTGCATCTAAACCTCCCTATAGTTTCCATTGTAGTTCCTTTCTGGGCTTACCTTTTGGGATCCTTAATATAAAATACAAGTTAAACCAAAAATAGGAACTACAATGGAGACTATAAGTACACCCCAAGAAGCCTGAAAACTGAGCTGTGGCCGCTTGCACTTCGAATGCCTCTGAGTCCGCAAACCGTGCCCATCGATCGAGCTCCTGCGCTGCTTTCAAAGCTCCGGGGTGCGGGTTTGAAGCAGGTGATTGATTTTTTTTGGGAAAGTGAAGAACAGTGTGGGTTTCGGTTTGTGGAACGAAAGATTGTCCAGAGGATCCACGCAAGAAAACATTCTTTGGATTTCTTTGAGGGTAGTAGTAAGTGTAGTTTAGGATTCACGACTCTTAGGGTTATTGTATTAGGTGCCAACAGATCTCTGCCATGTGGCCACTAAACCTGCGGAATTATGTCTGTAAATACTACGTTCCGTGTACAGAATGTTATTTGTGTTGTTTCTGTGCTTTGTCACTGTGATTGTGTCACTTTGTACCTGTGTACATCTTCGCCACCACCAGCCCCTCTCCCCCGGCCTTCACGAGGCTCCGCGCAAAGAGAAAGGCTGCAGCTGCAACCCTCTTACCCATAGGCCCCTAAGTAGTTCCTTTTTGGGAGTACCTTATAAGATTCTACATATAAACCCTAAAAAGGAACTGGGTACTGACACATGAACCCCTGAACCGTACACCCCAACGCTCACGCCCCACAGCACTCATTTATTCAGGATCGTATTGTACATACTAACCCGAAAGCCTGAACCCTAAGAGGAGCTTTGTTTCGGGGGCTGTATAACTAGTGCTGGTATTCAATCGGAGGCCCTATTGCAATTCCGGAGCCAGCACGGTGATTCAACTTATCAGGCTCATGTGTCCCATGGCCGTTAAAACCCTGAGAGCATAGTAGACTGCAGTAGCCGTACTTCGCCAAACCTGGTGCTAGCTTTCTGTTTGAAGCTTGTGACGCACAGCCTTCAACCTTTAATTGACACGCAGCCATATAAAACCCTGTCAACACAAAGCTTAATTGGAAAAAAAGCTCTTCATCATAAATCACATCCCTGAGAGACCCATAGTACAGTCCGCATTCAAGTAAGGGTCCAAGTACCTCATCATATGCTGCACCGAATACAACTAACTTTCAATGCTACTAGCTTACTGAAGCCAGGTAACTAATCAGGTACTCTGGGCCGTTAGTTTAGGGGCTTAGGGTAAGATGGAGCACTGAGACACCAGCCCCAGACCGTAAATCCCAAATCCAAAATCCTAAAATCCTGAAGGCCAGGCAGAATAATTCTTAGGCTCTAAACCCTATGAAAACCTTCCTTATAGAGTGCTGCGCATTATGCTTGTAGAGCCCTTCAATTAATCCCTCAAGCCTAAGTAAACCCTTCATTTCATCCCTCAACCATCCTCAACCCTAAACCTTTCAATTCATCCCTCAACCCTAGACCTTCAAAAAATCCCTCACCCTAAACCCTTCACCCCAAACCCCCAAAGCCCTAAACCTTCAACTAATCCCTCAACCCTAAAACCTTCACCCTAAACCCCTAAACCCCACAAACCTTTTCAACAAATCCACGGCCTCGCGGCGCCGACTCTCGCGCGCGGCTTGCGCCGCCCGCATCTCCTGGAAGCCCTGGGAGGCGAGAGGCAGGCTCTATTTTTTCTTTTTTTTTGGGGGGGGTTTAGGGTTTAGGGTTTAGGGTTTATGGGGTTTATAGGGTATATAAGGGTTTATA